GAAATCTGTGGCTGAGGCCACTGTGGAGCATGGGAGAACAGCCTGAGGTCTCACTGTACACAAGCCCTGTGCCTGGTGGGTTACCCCAGCTCACCCCGGCAGCAGCTCTGCCTCAGAGCAACCACGGCCACATTTCATAGTCAGATAGCACCTCCAAGCTGTCATGTGCCAATGTGGGCTGGTGTCAGAGCTGGGACTTGAACACAGGCTGCAATTCTGAGCTCCAAGCCCCGAAACACCACACTGAAGGTTTTCATTCATCAAAGAACTAACTGTTTGCCTCTGGTTCTATTGAGAGCAAGACATCCTGATTTTGAGATTCCTGGACTCTCAAATTCTCTGAATGATTTTATTGTCTGCTTTGTGGTTGTTGACTAAAGAATAAATAGGTTACTTGAGCCCATGAGAAAACACACACACGCACGCACGCACGCACGCACGCACGCATGCACGCACCTCCTAGGGCTGTGAGCTATGGAGACACAAGGACTCCAAGAACTCTAGGTGCTGACTGGGATACTCTGGAAGATAGGTTTCCTGCTGCTTTGGGAGGCTGAGGGTCTTATTTGGACCAGCAGCTTTGTCTCCACTGCCTCTTGACCCAGCCTGTTTTTAGGGCACCCAAGTTGTTGCTGCAATAGTTGGGGTTTTGGACTTGGGAATGGGCAGACTTGATCTGGGATTCATCTTTTCCACCCACTACCCTGTGTCAGCTGGGTGACACTGAACACTGCTGAACTCCTCTGGGTCCTGATCTCTTCTTCCAAAAAGAACAATATTCATGCAGTTGTAAGATTGATAGGGCTTTTGGACATTGCCTAATGGTGATGGTGGTGACAGTGGTGATGGTGGTGATGTTGATAATGGTGATGGTGCTGATGGTAAGTGATGGTGGTGGTGATGGAGATGATGATGATGGTGGTAATGGTGCTGATGTGGATGGTGATGCTGCTGATGTGGTAATGGTGATGATGGTGGTGATGAAGGTGATGGTGGTGATGATGATGGTGATGGCGGTGATGAAGGTGATGGTGATGGTGGTGAAGGTGGTGATGATGATGGTAATGATGGTATTGGTGGTGGTTGTGATGACAATGATTTTGATGGTGGTGGTAACAGTTATAGCAAAGGGAGCATCGGGTTAGCAGCCCTTACGCATGGTACACATGGTCACACGCATGCTCAGACTTTTTTTTTCCCCGTGGCCTTCCATCCACAGCACATCGCTTCTCCACAGGGGCCTGCTGAGAGAGGCAGGAGAAAGGCTGAGCTTTGTAGAGAGAAGTGAGGCTCCAAGGGGCCAGCGGGCTCAGGAACTGGGGTGGTTCCAGACACAGGGGCCTCTCTGTGCTCTCCTCAGGGTTACCCACCACTGCCTGGAAGGATCATGGAGGAAAGAGTGTCAGGATCGGACCCATAGAGCATCAAGAGGGAGGAGCTTTGGGGATGTGGAGGAACTCTGACTCTGAGGCCTGATGGACCTGACTCTGAACCCACTGACATCTTCAGCTAGAGTGTGTCTTTTTGTCTTGGTGAGTCAAGACAGGGTGGAGCTCAGGAGCTCAGCTTCCAGTTCCTCAAGGCCTCCTAGTCATGGCACAGGCGGCCGGGGAAAGGAGTCAGGCCATAGGCGGGAAGGAGGGGATTTTGAGCTAGGTGTAGGAGCTTTAGGAACGGAGAGTGGAGGCTAGGCAGTCACCAGGGAGCAGGTTAGAGAGTGGGAGGCTGGGTGGGTGCTGGGGACCAAGTCAGAGAACGGAGGGTCGATGAACCCTGGAGATCAAGTCAAAAAGTGGAGGCTCGGTGAATGAGTGCTGAAGTCAAGTCAAAAGGTGGAGGCTGGGCAGATGCAGGGGAGCGGGCCAGAGGCCGGAGGCTGGGTGGGTGATGGGGATCTAGTTGAGGATGGAGGCTAGGTGAGTGCGGGAAGCAGGCCAGAGGTTGGAGGCTGGCCTGTCACAGAGGTGGTGGCCGCAGTGGTAATGATCTCTAGGAGAGGTACGAGGATGGAGGATGGTAACTTTAGTGGGTCTAAACAGGGGCCAGAGGACCTCCTTCCTACCAGGTGGTAGGAGGTGGAGTTGAGAGAGGAGAAGGTGTAGCTAGTTATGTGTGGCCTCTCAGCCCAGCAGTTCTCCCCTCTGTGTGGCTACATGAAGGGTTTCCGTGATGGGGAGAGGCTGCCACTGGGGACGCAAGACCCAGAGCCTTGACTCATGTCCCCAGCCCATTTATCCAGCCCTCTTTGCTCTCTATGTCCACCTCTGACTCTGAAGAACTCCTACCCCCAGAGGGCATACCATTAGACGTGTGGCTCAGGGCACACCAGTCCCTGCCTAAAACCCTCCCGTGACTTAGGTTGCACTTGGAGTCTTCCTACAGGGGCTCTCCAGCTTCTCTCCCTTCCCTGCTCCATTAGCCACACTGGCCTCATTCCTTTCCTCTGTCCCTTAAATGCATCCAGCCACTTCCAGCCTCCTAGTCTCTGCACAGGCCATTCCTTCTGCCTGGAGTGTCCTTTCCCCAGAGCGTTGCTGGCGTTGCCTTTTGAGGTTTCCCGTTTTGCTCTTAAATGGCTCTCCCTTTAGAGAAAGAGAAGGGGATTTATTATGATTCCCACCGTACCCCCTTGTTTATTTACTTTTCAATACTTTTGATTTATGTATTCAACAAATATTTATGGAGCATCTAGTATGTTCCAGGCACTCACTGTTCCAGGGGCTGGAGTTACAATCTGTGCTCTCAGTTACAGCCCTGTGGAAGGCTAGGAAGACAGAGTCCAAATCACAGAGATACAAAAACAAAAATTGTACACTACATAGGAGGGAGGCCGGGGTAGTGAAAAGCCACAAAGAGAACTGAAATGTGCATCCTTTTCTTACGCTGTTGTGTGGGCTGAATGAGGGCCGATGCAAATTCACCAGCATAGCCGTGGGGCCTGTGCACACAGTAGGTGCTCATCAGGACAAGATCAGGACAAGGCAAGGGAGTATGCTCCAGTAAGAGGGTGTAGTGTGAGTTGAATCCTGGGAGAGGCAGCGCTGCCCTCGGGACCCAGGAGGTCCCATTTGGCTAGGGCAATGGTTGGTGGAGGGAGTGGTGGGTTCCAAAGCTGGTCCAGTGATGGGAAGGCCTGGAGCCACCCCAGGGAGGGTGCTGTTCTACCTGGGTGGTTGATGCGTGGCCAGCCAAGGCTCTTATGTAAGGCTTGTGCTGTTTTTCTGGAATTGGGAGCAAAACTCGGAGCTCAGGAGAAAACACTGCGGCCCTGACCAGTCGGGCGAAGCGGCAGGAAGTACCAGCTCCTGTCCGTCGCTCATGGGAGCAGAGAAGTGCCTGGATCCATCAGCTCAGGGTGGCTCAGTCAATAGCCTTGCAGCTGCCAGCAGCAACCAGGACTGCAGGCCTTTAGACCCCCCTTTGCTGCCTAGTTTGGATAAGCCTTCAGGGATGTGCAGCCTCTAGGGTGAGGTTCTAGGGGGCTGGGCCCTGGGAGTGCCTGCCCTTCCTAGCCTGCCAGGGGGCCAGTCAGTCCAGTGCCAGTTGCCACTTGTCCTAAGTGGATCTGGAGGGCTGGAACTGGAATTCTGACTTCTCGTTTACCCCTGATTCTATACAAGTTACCCCTTTTACTGGGCCTCAGTTTCCCTATGATTAGCCCCCTGTAAGGTGGCTGAATGCATCTGAGTAAGATTAGTATGTAGAGCTCCCCCTGAGTGGGGTCAGAGCCAGTGTGTAAGATTGGCAGGCTAAGGACACTTCAAATCAAGGCCCTTGGTAAAGCAATAAGAATTTCAGAGAGGCAAGACAGACCCAGAAGCCATGTGGCTGAGGCCCAGCTCTGCTCTTACCGAGCTGTGTGTCTGCTCTGGGCTTCAGTTTCTCTGCCTGTAAAGCAGAGAGATTAGTCTTGTAGATCCCTGGGTTCGTGTGTGTGTGTGTGTGTGTGTGTGTGTGTGTGTGTGTGTGTGTGTGTGTGTGTGTGTGTCTATGTGTGGGTATGTGAATGTGAGTGCAGGTGCTCAAGGAGTCCAGAAGAGGGCATCAGATCCCTTGAAGCCTATAATTACAGACAGTTGTGAATGGCCTAACGTGTGCTGGGAACTGAATTAGGGTCCTCGCAAGAGCAGCATGCATTCTTAACTGCTCAGCCATCTCTGCTTCCCCTTTAAATTGTATTTATTATTTTTTTTGGAGACAGGTTCTCTAGCCTAAGTTGGCCTCAGACAACCTGCGTAGTCGAGGACTCCCTTACACTTCTTATTCTTCTGCCTCTACCTCTCCTGTGCTAGGATTGTAGGTGTACCACTGTGCCCGGTCTATGTGATGCTAGAGATCGAACCTAGGACCTTGTGCATGCTAGGCAAGCACTCTACTAATTGAGCTACATCCTTAGTCCTAGACTTTCATTTAGTTAGTTAGTTTGCTTATTTATTTATTTATCTATCTATCTATTTATTTATTTATTTATTTTTGTTTTTTTTTTTTGAGACAGAGTTTCTCTGTGTAGCTTTGGAGCCTGTCCTGGAACTCACTCTGTAGCCCAGGCTGGCCTCAAACTCAACAGAGATTTGCCTGCCTCTGCCTCCCGAGTGCTGGGATTAAAGGCCCAGCTTGCCTATTTATTTATTTATTATTTATTTAGACAGTACTAGGAATACCCTCTACCACTGAGTCACAATCCCCAACCAGAACTCTAGCTCAGCACCATGAAAGTAAAAGAAAAAGACGTCGTTTACATTCTGAGGTTTTATTTATTTATTTTTTTATAGCTGTCGTTTGCCGAAACCCACTCTGGCTAGGCTTGCCTAATGGCCATCTGCCTGAGTGATCCTGACTTAGGTGCAATGGCTGTGACTCTCCTATAATGCACGTGGCCATAGCGAGGGCAAGGGGTAGCTTTCAGCTAGGCTGTCTGGGCTGTGTCACCCAGCTAGGCTGGGGAGTGGGTGCCCTGGGTGCCAAACCAACTCCCCTTTGTGTCCTTCTCTGCTCCCTAGGGCTCCCTGCTCCACGCTGACATGGCTGACAGCACCTTGCCACCCTTATCTGCAGCAGCCCCGGCCCCTGAGCCGGGAATCACTGAGCAGCCAGGGCCCCGGAGTCCCCCTCCATCCCCTCCAGGCCTGGAGGAGCCACTGGATGGAACCAACCCTGAAGTCCCACACCCAGACCTGGCTCCTGTTGCCTTCTTCTGCCTGCGCCAGACCACGAGCCCCCGGAACTGGTGCATCAAGATGGTATGTAACCCATATCCTTTGGAGGCCGGTGTGTCTGTGCCCAGCCCTGGGGCCAGCGTTGGGAGGAAGGATGGGTAGAGCTGCTTCCTGGCCACTGAGCTGCCAACATGGTCTCTGGCCAGCAGAACTGAGGGCTTCAGTGAGCCTCCTGGGCCTTGGTGGGTGGACACATAGCCGTCTGGGGAGATGCCAAGGGTGGAGGCTGGACCTGGGGTCTTGTTGGAGTCTTCTGGAAGCTGCTGATGGCTGTTTTCTGCTAAGGGACCAGTTCCTTAAGCAATAATCTGCTTGGGGCACTGAACTCGTGAGCCCTTATTGCTTCTGTGATGCCCACCTCTCATCACTGCTGCATGGGAGATAAAGTTTCCGGTTCGTAAGCTTTGGGACACATATTCAAGATCCTTCACAGGTTCCTATTACTCCCAGGTTTCGGAGACATGTCCTAATCTAGCCCACCAGACCCGCGGTACCCTGACCTAGCCTTCTTCTCCACACTCTGCTCCCCCCCTGGGTTCATCCATGACCCGGGCTTCCCACATACCATTCCCTCTGTCTAAAATGCCCTTTCCTTCCCTCTTCACCTGGCCAGATCCTTTGCCATATCCTTCAAATCACATCCTCAGTGTCGCCTCCTCAGCAGCCCTCTGTGATTCCCTGGGGCTCCTGGGCCTCATGTAACCTCATATCAAGTTGTGGAATGGTTTTTTTCTTTGTGGCAATATCTCATAGCCAAGATTAGCTGTGTAGTTAAGGATGACCTTGAACTTCTTATCCTTCTACTGCCAGCACTCAGGAGGCAGAGGCTGGCAGATGTCGGTGAGTTCAAGGCCAGCCTGGTCTACAGAGCAAGACCTGTGAGCAGTGTTCAGGCCAAAGAAGAGGTGACTGCAGGAGGTTGGAGCTTTTCCCCTTCCCTCCTCCCTTCCCTCCTCCCTTCCCTCCTCCCTTCCCTCCCTCCTTTCCTTCTTTCTTCCTTCCCTCCCTCCCTTCCTTCCTTTTTGAGACAGGGTTTCTCTGTGTAGCCCTAGCTGTCCTGGAACTCACTCTGTAGACGGGGCTGTCCTGGAACTCACAGAGATCCTCCTGCCTCTGCCTACCGAGTCCTGGGATTAAAGGCGTGCGCCACCACTGCCCAGCTCTGTCAGGCTTTTCAAGGAAGGTAAACCTTCGGTGTGGCTGAGGTTTGAGCTTTTGAGGAAGAGAAGGCTAGAGGACCCGGGAGACAGCAGGACAAGGTCAGAGGCCTATCTTGGCAGGTGACAGGAGAGCGTTTTGGGTGCTGTATGAGATTAAATAAGTCACTGGACCTCTGAATTTCTCTTGGTAGGCTGGTCACTATGGCTCTGGCCTGCAGAAGACCTGGGCTTGGGAGTATGACTCTCATAGGCTCTGGCAGGAATGACTGGGCTGACATTACCCATGCTATCTGTCCCAAGTGCTATGGAGAAGCCCCTACTTGAGAGGTGACCAGTGTCCTGTCTGCTGAGTGTGTGTGACTTTGTGCTGGCCCTTTTCTCTGAGCCCCAGTGCCTCCATCTGGAGAGGAGGGGCTGGTGAGATGTCTCCTTTCGGCTCTGCGAGTCAAGGCCAGCCATGCTCACCCAGTGGGACAGTGCCTAGCACAGGAACTCAGGCTGTCACTTAACTAGACTGGGCAGCTACATTGCTGACCTGTTGGTTAAATAGGGCCCTCCAGCCACTCTGCCCATTGACTTCACCCTCCCTGTCACCTCTGCTCAGAGAGTCCAGTTTGAGCAGGACACAATGGGGCTGGTCTGGGAGGGAGAGAAGGGGCCTTTGGTGGAGCTGGGCGAAAAGAGATTTGGTGGCTGGAGAGATGCTCAGTAAGTAGTTAACAGCGTGTGCTCTCTTCCAGAAGACCCATGGACAGCTCACAACCATTTGCAACTCGAGCTTTTCTTGGTTAGATTTTTGTCAACTTGACACAAACTAGCATTTGGGAAGAGGAGACTCAGCTGAGAAAAAAACCTCCATCCAGATTGCCCGGACACAAGCCTGTGGGGGCATTTTCTTTTTCTTTCTTTTTGGTTTTTTGAGACAGACTTTCTCTATGTAGTTCTGGCTATCTTGGAACTTGCTCTGTAGACCAGGCTGGCTTTGAACTCAGAGATCTGCCTGCCTCAGCCTCCCAAGTGCTGGGATTAAAGGTGTGCGCCATTGTGCCTGATTGGCATTTTCTTGATTCATGGTTGATGTGAGTGAGTCTAGCCCACAGTGGGTGGTGTCACCCCTGGGCTGGTGGTACTGAGCTTTTTAGAAAGCAGGCTGAACAAACCATGGGGAGCAAGACAGTAAGCAGCGTCCCTCCATGGTCTCTGCTTCAGTTCCTGTCTCCTGGTTTCTCCCGTGACTTTCTATCTTGACTTCCCTCAGCGATGGAGTGTGACCCGATTGCTGTAAGCCAAACACACCCTTTCTTCCCCAAGTTGCCTTTGGCTATGGCGTTTAATCACAGTACTAGAAACTCTAACTAAGACAAGCCCTAAGGGATCTGATGCTCCCTTCTGGACTCTGCAGGCCCCTGAAGACATATGGCACACATACAAAAATAATAAGAATGAAATAGGACAGATTTAGCCAAAGGGACACAGTTCAGCAGCACTTCTCCTTCTGCTCTGCCCTCTGCCATCTACACATCCTCTTGCTACCCACCTGCATCCCACTCCTCCTCCTCCTCCTCCACCTTCAATCATCCTTCCTCCCTCTATCCTTCATCCCTCCTCTGGCCTTCTTTCTCCATCTTTCCATTTTCCTCCATCTCCTTTCCTTCTTAATCCAATCTCCATTCTCGACACTCCTTTTCTATATTCCTTCCTCCACATCAATCTCTATTCTTCCGTTTCCAATCCTCTACCCTCTATCTTTTCTCCCTCTCCTCCTTCCTTTCTCCATTTTTCATTCTCAGCCCTCTTCCCTCCCCTCCATCTTCCATCTTTCACCTCTTCGCCCTTTCTCCATCCCCCTTTCTCTTCCTCCATCCTGTTTTTTTCTTTCAATATTCCTTTTCTTTCCTCATCCTCCATCCTTACACCTTCTATTTCCCCTTCATCATCCATTCTCCTTTCACCTCCTCCATCTCCTCCATCCTCCATCTCCTCCACTTCATCATCTCCATCCTCCATCTCCTCCACTTCATCATCTCCATCCTCCATCTCCTCCACTTCATCATCTCCATCCTCCATCTCCTCCACTTCATCATCTCCATCCTCCATCTCCTCCACTTCATCATCTCCATCCTCCATCTCCTCCACTTCATCATCTCCATCCTCCATCTCCTCCACTTCATCATCTCCATCCTCCATCTCCTCTACCTTCATCATCTCCATCCTCCATCTCCTCCATCCTCCATCTCCTCCATCCTCCATCTCCTCCATCCTCCATCTCCTCCATCCTCCATGTCCTCCACCTCCATCTCCTCCATCCTCCATCTCCTCCACCTTCATCATCTCCATCCTCCATCTCCTCCATCCTCCATCTCCTCCATCCTCCATCTCCTCCACTTCATCATCTCCATCCTCCATCTCCTCCACCTTCATCATCTCCATCCTCCATCTCCTCCACCTTCATCATCTCCATCCTCCATCTCCTCCATCCTCCATCTCCTCCATCCTCCATCTCCTCCATCCTCCATCTCCTCCATCCTCCATCTTCTCCACCTTCATCATCTCCATCCTCCATCTCCTCCACCTTCATCTCCTCCATCCTCCATCTCCATCCTCCAACTTCCACTTCCTCCATCTTCCTTCCACCTCCTTCATTTTCTACTCCCTCCCTCCCTCCCTCTCTCCTTTTTTTCCTCTTCCTTGGAAAAGTCTCCTCAACTCTGAAGGTCTGGTGCTGTCAGTGGCAACAGTTGCTGTTTCTGCGTTGGGGTAGGGACTCAGTTCTCAGCCGGAACTTCAGATCACAGCTGAGGTAGTGCCAAAGCAGAGTGAGGTCAGGGATTCCAGGCTCAGAGTCAAGTCTAGAAGCTTCTGTGACGGAGTCTCAGAGTTTACAAGCAGGATTTAAGGCTGGGTGACAGGAAAGCTGGACACTTGAAATAATCCAAGCTCTGAAAAATTCATGTTCCAGATGTGTGAACTTGGCAGCTGGGATGTTGTGTGCCTGGGGTCCAGGGACCTGGGACTTGGGGCTGTGATCACAGAGCTGAGGCTGAAGTCTCCTGGTAGACAGGTAGGTGGGAGCCAGGGGACTGCTGTATCAACAGGGGGACTCTGCGGCAGGGACTTGGGGGACCTCAGAGTAGGTTTCAGTGCTCAGAGACAGCCTGTGGTGGAGAGGGACCTTCTATCAGGCGTTGAGGATCTGCTCTCCTGGCTGGAAATGTCTCTGACAATCAGTGGGGGCAGTGTCAAGCAGTGTCTAACCTAGTCCTCCTCAGTGGGAGGAAGTTAGGGTAGTGTTTCAACTGGTGCTCCTTAGTGGGTATGTAGTACTTAACTTAGTTCTCCTTGTAGGAGGGCATGGGGTGGGGTAACGTTTAACCTAGCCCTCATCAGTGTTAGGGGAGACAGGGCAGCACTTAATCTAATGTTCCCTCTTAATGGAGCCCTGCTTGGATTTTGAGCTGTTGGCATTTGAGGGTCTGGACTGTCTTGCACATAATAGGATGTTGGTCATTCCTGATCTTGGGCACAGAATGCTGGAGTATCCCCAGGTTACTGTGACCACCAAATATGATCTTTTGCATGTGCAGTCTTTGCAGATGGTGGCTCAGCTCCTCACTAAAATTGAGCCTGAAAGGGGAAGGCCTGCCATGACAGGCCAGGCAAGCGAGAGCTGCCCCCTCTTTACCAGTCTCAGGCAGGGCAGGGTAATGGGAGTCAGCTCGTGACAGTCCATCCTGAGCTTACCTCCCTGGTTCCTAGGGCCCTGGCCCAGGGTTCTTTGGAACTTGGAGCTCCTGACTCAGCTTCTTGTGCAGCTCAGAGCAAGTAAGGCCTGAGTCACTGCCTGAGTCACTGTGAGCCACTAGGCGGTGGGGAC